CACACACACACACACACACACACACACACACACACACACACACAACCTGCAGGTTCTTCTTCATTGGTGTTTGGGTGGCTCACCAATGGGAAGATTTTGGTCAGTTTTCTGAGGCTTCTTTATCCAGTTGTTGGACTGGGCATGAAAACTAAATTGCGATTTAAAAATTGGAATGATTCTGGAAGAACTGAAATGTTAGTCTTGGTTTCAATCGATACTCGGGGTCCAACCCTGGCAGTGATTTATTTGAAGCATCTAAAAACAGCTAAACTCCTAGTGAATGAAATGCTAGAGATTAGCAATTAAAATATAAACTCTGCAATAGTCATTTCTGATTTTACATAAGAAAAACATGTTTTGTTTATATATATATCCATCACTTTGGGTCTGGGGTATTTCCTGTTTKCATGGGTTTTTTCCTGGTTCTCCAGTTTCCTCTCACAGTCCAAAAAAAAGCGTATTTAGGCTGATTTCTGACCCAGGTTTACCCTTGAAAGAGATCTGTAATAAATATTGACCACATCCAGTGTCAGCCAGAACATGAAAAAACTTGATTYAATAATTTTCTATTTTGTACAGACATGTACTGGTTTTTTTAGTTAGGTTTATAAATCAGAAGTATTTTTTTTGCAGAAATCCATGGCTTTTTCTTTTAACTCTACCATTTTATCTGTCTCTATGGTTTAATTGCGCCTATAAGTGTTCCAGTTGAAGCATTAAATAAACTTCTAACTTTTGAATCATTTATTGATGTCTAGCTTCATCCCAAAGGAGATGTCCATTTCATCATATTTACAAACACACAGTGTTTGTATTTCGGAGTTTAAAAGCTCTAGTGTCTCAGGTTCAGATATGTGATGTTGGGGAGARGAGACCTTCTGTTTTCTCATTTGAGGACTAAAGTGTTCGTGGAGGGCAGTGAAATGATATGTAGATGGGAGGACAGCTACGTGTTCTGCAGTTCACTGAAACTGTTGTGTATAGTAAATTACTTTTCAATCACTTTTAGATTCATTGCACCGACATCTATAATGTGACAAATGTAAAAAAAAAATCATACTATTTCTTGTTGCATTTATTCTGAACACATGCTGTAAAATGAAAATACACGTGTTTATACATTTAAAAAGGGAAAAAATAACTTGGTTTGAGTTTCATTGCAGATTAGATGAAACTACATTTATTTTCATTTAGGAACTTTAAAACCTAATCTGTACAAGCTGTGTGCAACTTGTGTAAACTATACGTTTAATCCAGTCAATTTATATTTAAGTTTTTGTCTGTTTTTCAAAATACAACAATTCCTTTTCAGAGTTTATGTAGCATTTTTCATGTAATGTTATTTTTTCTGTTTTCTGTCAGGATGACCATGACAGTGGCTCCAGCTCCACCAGTCGCAGTGTCTCAGACAGCTACAAGGCCTCACTAAAGCCTCGCCGCATCCAACAGGCAGCCCCCAGTGACCCAGACCTTCCCCCAGGTGAGTGATGTTTTTAGGCTCAGTGAGCCTTTTCTGTTTTACTTGGAGAGAAACCACCRGGGTTAAACTGGTTGTAAACCATTTATTCTTCAAAATGTAAACTCTGTCTTGGTAGCAGCCCAATGCTTAAAGGTAGAGGTTAGTGTCAGTGAGTGCAGCAGCTGTTTACATTGTGGAAAATATCACAATGAGCTGCACTGCACTTTACTTATTCTAACTTGCAGTATGTGTACTGGTGAAAAACAGGATGGGCTTGCAATGACTAAAGGCTTCRTTTAACATTCCATTCAACTATAGTCTCTTAACTGTCCACAGATCCATATATGCCATGCTTATTTTACCAGGACACTTGGGCTATTTTAACACGATGTAAACCGTAGCATTTCAGCTGTTTGTGCACAACAGCAGTCGTTTTCTCTAACACCAAAGCTTTTTCAATCTAGGTGCCAGAGAGAAGGAGTTTGGAAAAGYCTGACATCAGTGTTAAATCTCACATACACATTATGGACAGCTACCATTTTTGTTTCTGTTTGCTGTTCATCCTTTCCAAAGTGTAGGAGCAACACAACCTCATCCTCTGCCCGAAAGAACATACATGTTTGTCACCRTTTTGTATTTAAAGGCCCTGTTACAGTAAAATCAGATGACCATGAAGCTGCTTGGACATGGTCTTGTAGATTTAACCTTTTAACACAGTTATAATCATCTTTCYGAGGTCCTCAGACAACTCTTGCTCTTGTGGTCTTTACTCCATATTTAGTGTGGTTAGGGTTTGTAGTTTGACTTCTTAGTTTGAAAAAGACTATAATTCATAGATTGAGAGCCTCTTTAAGGGTATCATCAAATCTGTTAATAATATTTTAGCCATTCACCTTTTGTGTAAAYAAATAAATAAATAAAATAATTTTTTTCTTGTTTTCACAGTTTTTCTTTATTCCATCCTAGACTAAAGACATGCTGATATACATTATGATAGACAATTAGTTTAATTCAACCACTCTTAATAATAAATGAACTGTTTCAGCGAGCTGTAGGGATACATGTATAGAAGTATAAATGTATTAAATGTTACGCAGTCCTAATAACTCTATTAGAATATTAAACTGCCACTTGGTATTAAAGAGGTGCAACACTGTAGGAGAGGAATTAAACCATTATAAGATTCTGAGGGATTGCAAACCTATTATATTGAGARAGAAAAAGAGACTAATGAAACCTCTGAGCATAAGGTTATAGCAAGTCAATTAGGAAAATAAAAATGAGAAAAAGTGTGATCAGAAAACAGCGAGCCTTAAGCTATGAGTTAGGTCAGTGTATCATCWAAAGGTCAACTCTCAGACCTCTAGCTTGCTTAAATCGAGGAACTTGCACTCCTGGCTGGTTTTGTCAGGGGAGTATCCATTTACCGACCTGATGTTATGAGATAATATCTCTCTCCAGCTGTTAAAGCAGGGTGCCCCACACCCTAGCATCTCCCATGGTGCCTGCCTTCAAGATATCTTGGTGGTGTGTGTGGGAGTCAATAAATGCCTTTGTTTATCTTTTTAGTGTAGCTGTTCATTTGTGTGCGCAYGTGACACTGTTCCAACAGTGGTCCCTGTTTTAACCCATTACAGACTATAGAGACAACTGAGGGGTCAGGCTGAAGCAGCTCAATAATACCAAGGAAACAGATGGATGCTGTAATCCCAGCCGTTCTAATTAAAAAGGAGAGGTTAAAAGGTAGATGAGGTAAAACTAACCTGCCATGACTCAGAGGATGTTTTTGGAAGAATAAGATACACACCAGATATGTCATGAGTCTTTTATTGTACTGATGGAGACACCAGTAAAGTATTTTTTAGACTTCTTATTTTTTATATATAAAAACAGATTTTATTTGGGGTGTCAAAAGGTTTATACTCCTTKAAATGCTGATTTGTGTAGTTTTCTGTTAAATACTGAAAAACAAGAACTTTATTTACATGTTGCCTCAAAACGTAATGGTGACACTGTCTCTGTTTACTCTATCAAAAGTCCTGAAGACAATAATCTGAAACAAATAAGGCAAATATGCTCTCACCACAACATTATAAATAACATCAGGGCAATGTTATCCTGTAATACAATACAGGAAAWTTTTAAGTATTTACATAAACACATTTTTAACTTAAATGTAGAGATAATTATCTTACTGTGGAATTAACATCTTATTAGACAACTTTTATTTTTAATAGCACACTATCAGCTACATATATACAATGCTTGTAAAACAATAATAATTAGAAAATACAACCAATTGCATGGAAAAGTTCTCCATTTGTTAGTAACATTTTTAAACTGAAATCTAAATTTTGGGATACTTTAACGGACCGATGTTGCTTCTCTCTCAAGAATCTGAGTAATAGAAACTCAAAGCTTTATTTTGATAGATGCAATATCTGATTCTGGTGTATTTTTTATTTTTTATTTTTTTGTTCTTTTGGAAGTTATAGCTGACTTACGCTGGTATCAGACGGATAATTTTAGGAACCACTAATTGACTTCATTCATTCAAAGCAACAAACAGCAACAACACATCTCTCCAAATATCATGTTTTTGTTGCACTGTGGTGCTTTTGTAAGAAAGGCTTACAGTATGCTAAATGTGAGGCCATCATTTGTTGTTGGACATTATCTGTGTTGACAAAATGTTTTGGTTCCTCTCTCCTTGTCTTGAAAACAACCAAAGCATCATCAGGAAGCACTCTGTTATCTAGTCGTTTGGCACTAAGTTCTCACACGCTGACTAAATTTATCAGAATTGTTCCCTTTGTGGTAGAAAATAGTGATTGTAATTTATAGATCATGTAGCCACAAAAGACCAAAGACCAAGTGCTTTCACTTTAGGGGAGGCTGGGAGTAATTATGTTTAGTGCTGCTTGTGGGGGACCATTGGCCACCGTTTGTTAGAGCTGTATTTGTCAATTCTCGGGAATTCCTGCAGTGGTTCCACAAACTGTTCAAATGTGTTTTATATGACTTCAAAGGGAAATAATTTTGGCAAGTTTCCATTTGAGTCCATGTTTTGCACAGTAGCTAGACCAGTTCGAAGCTGTGTCCCAAATTTTCCTCTTTAACTGTAAAGTTTTCTCAATAGGTTGCAAAATATTACTTTAGAGTGTACTGTAAGTCGAGCAGTATAGCCATGAAGTGTGTCCACAGTATGACATGACTTCTGGGTGGAGGAAGMATGCATACCACATCAATAATGAGATGAAGGCCTCCTTCATGTGTCTCACAGGATGACACGTTATTTTGGACTTTGCATGAAAACTATGACTCTGCTTTTGCAACCTATTTTACTTTACACCCTACTTTTTTTTTACTTTGTTTAGATGTTCACATACTTCCACATTTGACTTGTTTTGTACCAAATGCCTTCTTTTTAAAATTAGATGTCGATTATACCAAAAATTAAGTCTTATTTATTTCTTCATTCACTGCTGAAATTCTAAAGAAAGAAAATATCTTAGAGTAGAACAAAAAATATTTTATTGTTGTTGTAATCAACACAATACCGTAGATTTGCAGCTCTATAGTAACAAGTCTGTAAGTACAAAGTAACAAAGTGTAGCAATTGCATTAAAAATATCCACATTATGTACATAGTACATACTAATAAAAATAATTATAACAACTTTCMCTTTTTGTTAAATTTATATATTCCCATATCTTTGCATACACACAAACACCCTAAACTGATGTGTCCAGTGTGACAGTGCACTTCTTGCTTTGAGTGTACGCATCATGAGTTGTGTGTGTG